TGTAGGGATATTCAAATCAAAGTTTCAATTTGGGTGTCTTTGTTCCTTTTGTTTTTAGTGGCCATGCTGGACTGAAGAGTCTTGTGGAGCTTCCAACATTTTTTTCTGAGCCAAGCTCTTGAGATCCTCTGGGTGATGGTGACAGCTGGGTCTGCAAAGAAGCCTGCAAAGACATTGCCTTCACCATTTTCTGGAAGAACTGACAGACCAGCCTTCCAGGGAGTCAGTGCTGGATGGAGTCCGGGAGGCAACAGCGCCTGCGCGGCTTGGTGGCCGCTAGGATACTGGGCACGCTAAGACACGGCCGCTCCAAGGGGAAGCCAGGGACAGAGGGGCGTAGACTTCACTCTCTTCTTTTGCAGACAGGCTCACTGGACGTGTCCTTGCTTAATAAAAGCAGTGTGGGCCAGCTCATGGGACAGTAGATAAAGACTGGATCCCACAGGGCTGACTGCGCCAGGTGAATCCTGACCGCTAGCTCAAGAAACATGCCAGGCATGTGTGTGCCCCCAGAAATCCCAACAGGAGGGAGACATGGAGGAGAAGGGGCTGTGGTGTGACCATTCCCCACAGGTGTGCTCTCACTTTTCTTCTCTCTCTTTCCTGAGTGCAGTTGTTCTCTGGCAAAAAAAAATAAAAATAAAAATAAAAGAGAGAGAGAGAGAGAGAGAGAGAAAGAAGAAAGAAAGAAAGAGAGAAGAAAGAAAGAAAGGAAGGAAGAAAAAAGGAAGGAAGGAAGAAGGTAAGGAAAAGAGTGACTAGAATCTTGCAGGACAGCGCAGAGAAACCTGGTTGCACCTCAGCCCCTTCTCTTCGAGAAGCAACCAGTCTTCTAACCAGCATAAATTCGGAGCCCGATCACACTGACAGAGTCACCGTCAGCCTATGAATGTTACGAGCACTTAGAAAGCCCCTTCCCACAATTAAAACAAAAACTATTCTTTGTCTGCCATCTTTGCACTGTGGAACATATTTCAACTTTCTTTTATTTTCCAAACATGCAAACAGAAGAGAGTGATCTGACCCACAGTACACTGACATACCACGCAGCTATAACCTTGAGATAAAAAGTAAAGAAAAAGTCTAAACAACTCACACCAAAGACTAACACAAACAAGTCGTTCCTCATTCCGGACCCCTTGTCCTGAATCAAGGGAACTAACTGGCATTCACACCCCTGACAGTGGCGGGGACACATTGATCTGCACTTTGGCAGCTATGCAGGCCCCAAATGCAGAGCCGTAAAGTCTTATCTAGTCATTACTAACACAACAAATATGTAGCAGCATGTGATATATTCTATGCCAGACATGGTTCTGGGTGTCCGGGAGATTTAGGGCACGTATAAAACTTACAAGGTTTCTGCCCTTGTGGAATTTATCTAGTGGTATCAGAAAAAAAAGAAAGAAAGAAAGAAAGAAAAAGAAAAAGGAATATAGCCCACAGGGCTGAGAGGAGATGGGAAACAGCAGCTACACCAGAAAGTCTGAGCTGTTTCCTGGATCCTGTATATCCAGGAATGCAACTGCTTCAAAATCTGGGTCAAACTGCAGAGCAGCTATTAAAGATAGAAAGACGGAAAGAAAAAAGCAGAGTACCAGAGAAAAGCTTCTCTCTCCACCACACAGGGGAGGGTCCTCTGAGGGTTTTTAGCAAATTGACCAGAAACGGTCAAACCTAGGGTTTATAAGATGGTAGTTAAAGAAGAAATAAAGGCTGTGTCTTTGCCCCATGCTAAAAGAACTCCAAAGATGGGAACCAGCAATTAGCGTAATGGCTATGTTGCTGGACTCCCACGTAGTCGACCGCGGTTCGTGTCCCGGACCCGGTGACTTAAAACTCACGCCGGGCGCGTGTGCATGCGTGCCCAAGATCCCAAGAGGAGAATGGAGGAGAAGGGATTGCGGTGTGAGCATCCCCCCTGGGGGGTGATTTCTCACTTTCTGTCTCTATGTCTCTCTCTGTCTGTCTGGCGAGCGCATGCGCCCTACAGTGAAAATCTCTCAAAAAAAAAAAAAAAAAAAAGAACTCCAAAGATGAAACGTCCCAATATAATAACAGGGATACATGAATATATTTGCTAAGCAATTACATGTATTAGCCCATTTAATTCTCTCAACCAACCACCTAGAGAGGAATGCTAATTTTATTCCCGTTTTTTATAGGAAGAAAGAGGCCTAGAAACCTTGAGTAATTGGCCGTTGCCCAAGGACACCTGGCTGGGAATGGAAGGGGAATCAGAGTCCACCTCTTACAGCACTATATTTTCATCTATAAAACCCTTTTTCACCATTTTATTTAAGTAAAAAGGTATTAATATTAAATAAGAAAATTATTCAGAAACTTGTCTGTGTTTTCAAGATAATATCATAAAAGAGACATTCAAAAGATCCTTTCAGTCAAAAGCAAACACATACCACTTTCCCAAATACAAGAAAAATTTAAAAATGAACTTTTGCTGTCACCTAAGTGCACTAAGAATCTCCAATTAAAATGATGATTCGCGAACAAATAATGATCAGTGTTTTATCCGAATAATAAATTGCTCCTCAAAGTTTATTTTATAACTGTGTACATTTCCATTTTTGCACTTTATTTGAGCAATGAATTAGTAACAGAGTAAGGTGGAGCAAGTTTACTGAAACAAGGTGGAACTCCATAAAGAAACATAACTCTGTTGGAGGGAGAATCTATTCTTTTTAAAAAATCCTCAAAACTTCCAAAATAATTATAGTAGAATTAAACTTTGGGAAGAGATGAGGGTCTTGTTTTGGCTTTAAATTGTTTAAATTATATGCAGTGAAAAGTCATCAGACTGCTTATTTTTACTCTGTTTTGTGGGAAATTGTGCCGGGAATGTGGATCTATCGTGCACGAAGGATGTTGGTTTTATGCTTGGAACGACCAGGCAGGTTGAGCTGAGAAACAATTAGGGCAGTCAGCAAGCCTTTGAATCTGATTAAGCCAGGAAGTGGTCACTCCCTGGGACAGGGCAGAATGAAGGGAATCAAGGCAACAGCTCCAAAACAAGGAACGATTTTTCCCTCTCCCGCTGAAATCAACTAGCATCGAATGGATTGTGGCAAGCTTTTGCCCGGGATTAGCTTATTACATTTCATCTTTGGTGAAGCAAATGGAATCTTATATCCAAGATCAATAGTCTACATGTAGCATGGCTACTGTTTCTAAGAAACTTCTGTTTATTGAGGCCTTTCCTACCCTCCTGTTTTGGTAACCAAACATTTTCAAGGATAACCAAGTCACAGGAAAATGAAGGGCTTGTACCAGGCTGCTGGCTGGCTTCTTGTGGTCCTGGGGAGTCTCAGCATATCCTCTGGAGTGATGGCTTTCTTTCCTGTCTTCTCATACAAGCTTTGGTTCGCTGGATGGAGCGTTTGGATTGCTTGTCCCATCTGGAATGGAGCTTTGGTAGGAAAATATTTTATTAAATATATTGAGAGAATTAAGGAAAGTGGGAGGGAAAAAAAGAAAGAGAATACCATGTTCTTTTAAAAATTTCCAATAATCCAAAGAAGGTGAAATTCTACAGAAAATAAGAATTCACCTTTAAACATTTCTGTTGTATTTTAAATATAGAACTTTTTAAATAATATTTTATCATATATGCATGTATATCATATTATTATAATCAAATGCTGTTCAAGAAATTCTTCAAAATATTATTTCATTTTAATCCTTTTTTTTTTTTTTTTTTGAGAGGTTTTTCCTATAGGGTGCATGCGCTTGCCAGAATGACAGAGAGAAACAAAGAGACAGAAAATGAGAAATCAACCCCCAGGGTGGATGGCCATGCCACAGTCCCCTCTCCTCCATTCTCCTCTAAGGATCTTGGGCACACACGCACACGTGCCTGGTGTGAGTTTAAGTCTCCAGGTCTGGAACTCGAACCGCGGTCGACTACATGGGAGTCCAGTGACATAGCCGTTACATTAACTGCTGGTCCCATTTTATTCCTTTTACCTTGATATTCAGAGACATTAGAATTTATCTTTTGAGATGTGAATACTGAATTTACAAAAAAGTAAACCATGAAACATAGTTTTAAAGTGAAGAACAAGGCAAAATACTCTTCAAACTAACACTTTCATTAGAAACACTCAAGTGCGTCTATAGCACCCCAAAATTTGACACTCCCAAACCTTTGTTCTCCCACCTTTTGCTTTTCATGTAACTGTGTGAACAAAGTAACACCAGATGTAAGGTGAGTCTTCACCGATCTTGGAGTTCACTGAGAGAGTGAGTGTGGGCCGAGTACTAGGCTGGGTGTTGAGAGGTTTTTCCTATAGGGTGCATGCGCTTGCCAGAATGACAGAGAGAAACAAAGAGACAGAAAATGAGAAATCAACCCCCAGGGTGGATGGCCATGCCACAGTCCCCTCTCCTCCATTCTCCTCTAAGGATCTTGGGCACACACGCACACGTGCCTGGTGTGAGTTTAAGTCTCCAGGTCTGGAACTCGAACCGCGGTCGACTACATGGGAGTCCAGTGACATAGCCGTTACATTAACTGCTGGTCCCATTTTATTCCTTTTACCTTGATATTCAGAGACATTAGAATTTATCTTTTGAGATGTGAATACTGAATTTACAAAAAAGTAAACCATGAAACATAGTTTTAAAGTGAAGAACAAGGCAAAATACTCTTCAAACTAACACTTTCATTAGAAACACTCAAGTGCGTCTATAGCACCCCAAAATTTGACACTCCCAAACCTTTGTTCTCCCACCTTTTGCTTTTCATGTAACTGTGTGAACAAAGTAACACCAGATGTAAGGTGAGTCTTCACCGATCTTGGAGTTCACTGAGAGAGTGAGTGTGGGCCGAGTACTAGGCTGGGTGCCACGGAGGCCCTCACTGTCTTCTCCCCACGTGACTGCACAGAGAACTGTCGGCCTGACCCAGCCACGGCCACAGAAATGAGCACACGCAGCCTGGGGAGTGAGTGAGTCCCAGGGTGACGTGGCGCAGGTGGGGTTCTGATGGCCCACCTCAACAAATCCTCTCATTGATTCCAGTCACCCTTAGAGACTCGATTTTTGATGCTTTTTGATCTTAAGGAATTTTCTGTTAAAATGTCATTCTTAGGGAAGATGACATCTTAAATCTTTAAATAATTAACTTTGAGTGGGATACCACCAAAATGCAAGACTCCAAGGAATATAATTTTATTTTATGTTTTAGTTTTTGCTAAAGAGTGTATGTGTTCACCAGAGAGAGACAGACACAGGTAGAGAGAGGGAAAGTGAAAAATCACACCCCGGGGGATGGCCATGCCACAATCCCTCTCCTCTACTCACTTCTTGGGATTTGGGGCATGTGTACACAAGTACAGTTTTCCATGCTGATAGTTCTTCAACCACCATGCTACCAGCTGGTCCAGAAATGTAATTTTTAATGTATTTATTAAATATTCATTAATAGCATAGCATGTTCTTAAGTTACATGAAGGATAAAACAAGGTCTTGATCTTAAAGAACTCTGTTTAGTGGAATTTAATGCTGGAGAAAAGTAGGATGAGGGAGGGAAGACTGAAGAAGGAAACCACTGGGTGGACCTTTCTTCCTTTTTTTATTTTTTAGAACATTTTTTAATATCTACCACCCCAGTACCAATCTTCCTTTCTCTTCCCCAATTCCTACCCTAAACTATACATTCAAAAAAAATACGTTTATTACATTTCTACAGGAATGCAGAAATAGCAGCTACACTGGTTTAGACTTCCAAACTGTTTGCGGGTGAGTCAGAGTATGCTTTGCATGAAGACCTGGAATGTACATAAATACATCTCCATATTTCTTTCTAGGTAAATAAATACCTATATATACATATCTATATACATATCACAAAAGTTTCACAAAACAAAGCTTAACCCTTTATGTGAAATGTGTATTTTCTATTCCATTTGTTTTTGAATTCTGATTTCATGAATGACCCAGAGTTTAACAAAACCTTTCCTCTTACTCTTAGAGCTCTTTGCCTGTCCGTACAGGGTACATCATAATACACTCAATAATGACTGGCGATTTTTATTAAGATGACAGGCTATTGAATGCAGGCTTTTTCTAGGCCTGACATCTATCTTGGCAATTAGGCCCAGAGAAACAGGTTGGTGTGTCTCCAGTACATAGCCTGTTGGCAGCTATTGATTTCTAGGATGGCAGCCTGGCAAAGGAGAGTCATAGACTCAGAACTTGGAGAGATGGGCTTGTGTTCAAGTCCTGACATTGATGTTCTTGGCAGGTGATCAAAAACAGGACCCTCAGTCAGCCAGTGTGCCATTATCTTTACGTATAAAATGGGAGATTTGACACATCAAGAGAGCCTGCGTGTGTAAATCAGTGGGAGATGATCAGTGAGAATTAACACTGTTTGAGTAAAGACTGTATAATGAAGAGTTTGCCCATTTTGAAGCCCCACTCAAATGCTAGTTAGTACCAGGCATTCCATCTGGGCCTTACTCTCTGAGCAAACCCATGGTTCTTGATCCCTTCCCATCCATTTCATTGTCCTCTCCCATGCCCTAAAGACCTGCTGAGTTCCCATCTTGTTATGTCCTGGAACTCTTCTACCACTCTTCCTTAGCTCATTTCTCTCCCGTCACAATGGCCCCTTGATATTTTTCAAACATGCCAAGGTGTGTTCTGCTTCAGGGTCTTCGCATTGCCAGCTCTTTAGCCGAAGCCTTCTCCTGAACTTGACTCAAAGGATCAGTTTGACTCTTGATCAGACATCACTTTCTCACTGATGATTTCCTTTATTAATACATACACACACACACACACACACACACACATATATTAGTCCGAAAGATTTTTGTCATAGGGCATGCATACTTGCTGAAGAGACAGAAAGCAAGAAATAACTCCTGGAGGGATGGCCATGCCACAATCCCTTCTCCTCCATTCTCCTCTCAGGATTTTGGGCACACACGCACATGCACCCAGCATGAGTTTTAAGCAGCCAGGTTCAGAACTCAAACAGCAGTCAACTACGTGGGAGTTCAGCAATGTAACCATTATGACATCTGCTGGTCCCTTCCCTATTTAAGATTGCAAACCTCTGCCCCAAACTGGCCTTCCCAGTCTCTCATACCTGTTCTATTCCCCCATAGTTCTTAACACCATCTAAGATGCTATATAATCTTATAATATTATTGGTTTAATTCTTTCCCATCCACCAAGTGTGTATTATACAAGGACAGGAATTTTCTTCCTAGTTTTTTTACTGTTGTACATTCAGAACCTGGAATAGAGAGGATCACAGATGATGTGTTTAATAAATACTGTTGAATGAATGAATAAATTCTATGCTCTCCAGTCTAGGGATACAGAATTTCTGGTATTGTTGAACTCCGGTTAGGTTGCAAGGACTCAAGGTCAAGCTGGTATTTAGACTAAAGCAGAAAAAGAATCCTCACGAGAAGGGAAGCAATAAGAATGCTCATTCTTTCAATAACGTCTAAATTTGGATCGACTTGATTTTCTTTTTTTCCTAGTGAGTTTCCTACTAAACCACAGTTCTGTCTGATCAGGGTCAACTTCAAAGGTCTCTGACTCATTCTACAACCTCCCTGGCCAATCACGTCTTAACCTGCCTCCAAAGAATGTCTTCCTCTGGTGAAAAGATAATTTGTACATATCAATCATACTCATATTTCCTTTTGCAGATGACTCCATATTTCTTTTGAGACTTGTAAGCAATACATTTTCCCACGTGATGCAGTACTTTCTATTTGTTCAGTGTCTTTCGCTCAGGACTTCCTAAGTACTTCACAAATATTGGTCCTCAGACTCTCCGAGCTGCATGCTGACAGTCACGTGACAGGTCGTTTTCCTAGAATTTCTGAGCTAGGTTATTTAAAGACATCAGCTGCTAGAGAGTATGTAGCAAGGGGATCATGGTACCTCAAGGACTGAGCTCTATTAATCCTGGGAAATGTGGCTGGTAGCTCAGGCTCTGACGAAGAGAGCTGAAACACAAGACCTGAGGCCTGCAGAGTCCTGCGAGGGCCAATGCTAAACATTGCCCCATCCAGAATCTGCTTAGAGACAGGAATTTGGGAGAAAGGTCAGGGCTAGATGTAGCCATGCTGGCCTCCCTATTTCTTCAACTGTTAGACAGAAGGCTTGTCTACTACCGCTTCAGTGGTTGGACTTCCAACGCCTGATGGTGTGGAAAAAAAAAGAGAAAAAAACAGCTGTGGGACCAGCAGTTGGCATAATGGCTGTGTCACTGGACTCCCATGTAGTTGACCACAGTTCGAGTCCCAGACCTGGTGGCTTAAACTCATGCCGGGCGTGTGTGCGTGCGTGCCCAAGATCCTGAGAGGAGAATGGAGGAGAAGGGACTGCGGCATGGTCATTTCCCCTGGGGGGCAATTTCTCGCTTTCTGTCTCTCTGTCTCTCC